GGCTGGGCTATCTTTGAGAAACCCTCAATAAACCTTTGATAGTATCCTGCTAACCCCAAGAAACTACGAACATCAGCAGCACTCTTTGGCGCATCCCACTTGCTCACTGCCTCGATCTTGCTGGGATCCACCTCAATGCCTCTCGCTTTCACAATGTGGCCAAGGAATGCCACACGATCCAGCCAAAACTCGCACTTCGAGAACTTAGCATACAACTTCTCGCAGCAAAGAGTCTCCAGCACAATCCTCAGATGCTCCTTATCTGGTCGATGCTCCGAGAATAAACAAGGATGTCGTCGATGAACACAATGACAAACTGGTCCAGGAAAGGATGAAAGACCCTATTCATAAGGTCCATAAACATGGCCGGGGCATTGCTGAGTCCGAACGACATAACTACGATCTCATAGTGGCCATAACGGGTACGGAAGGCAGTCTTAGAAATATCCGACTCCCGGATTTTCAGCTGATGATAGCCAGAACGCAAGTCGATCTTGGAAAAGACGCTGGCTCCCCTCAACTGGTCGAAGAGATCCTCAATGCGAGGATGGGTGTACTTGTTCTTGACTGTAAGGGCATTTAACTCCCAATAGTCAATACACATACGCATCGATCCGCCTTTCTTCTTCACGAATAGGACGGGCGCTCCCCACGGCGAAACACTCGGACTAATGAAACCAAGATTGAGCAACTCCTGGATCTGGGCCTTGAGCACTTGAAGCTCCTTCGGCGCCATACGATAAGGGGCCTAAGAAACAGGGCCGACTCCTGGTACTAGATCAATGGTAAACTCCACTTGACGGTCGGTCGGTCCTCCGGGCAATTCATCAGGAAAGACATCGAGATACTCGCAGACGATAGAGACTCTCTCCGGGAACCTCCAGAATCGTCCTCGGATACCATAGAAACCAGATAGCCTTGACAGCTACCCTTGGAAAGGCTCTTCCTAGCTTGTATAAAAGAGATGACTCGAGGCACAGTCCTTGACTTCACCCCATAGAAAATAACAGGCTGATCGGAAATGGGGAAGAGACTGACTTCGTGCTCCTGGCACTGGATGTCGGCTCCATAGCGAGTGAGCCAGTCCATGCCCAGGATCACATCAAAGTACCGCATTTCAATAACATAGCAATCGACCTCCAAAACACGCCCACCAATACTGACTGGAAGACTGGAAATCATAGAATCGGAAATAATAATCTTTCCCGAGGCTAGACTAACCTCGAGAGGGTCACAGTTGCACACATTTCTAATAGAAAGTGCCTCAAGGCATCGAGAGGAGATAAAGGAATGAGTAGCCCCAGTGTCACATAACTCAAAGATAGGCACATTGGATAAGGAAATCATGCCAGACATGGTACCTGCGTTGTTGGCTGCCTCGTCATG